CCCCAAAACCCCAAAACCCCAAAACCCCAAAACCCCTTAAATATCCGGAGAAATTGAACATTTGGTAAGGAATTAATGATTTAAATAATTTTAGCACCAATCAAAATTATTCAATCACTATCTCGTTGTTTTCATCAAATTTAGGCACATAGAATCCGAAGAAGAATTTGTAGATCCCGAAGAAGTACTCGAAGAGGATCATCTTCAAGTAGAACAAGCATTTTGTACTGTAATAGCTCAATATGGAATCCTTTAAGGTCAAGCCTTGTATGCAATAGTCTGAGAAGGAGATCAGTTGATATCTGATAGATCCTCCAAGTCTTTTGTTATGGATTAGAGTGTACTGAGCAGTCTTAAAAATAAAGCAGATGTTTGAAGGCAACTTTTCTGTCAGCATTCCTATTTTCTCAAAATTCATCTCATCGTTGACCTTCAAAAATCTTCTCTCTTGATCTGTCAGCTTTCCTCCAAGAGGCTTGGTTGAGTTAATTGTTCTGTAAGTGAATAGAAGAGGTAAGAATCTGTAATGCTCTCCAAGTCCCATCTCATGAGCAATTTCTTTCATCTTTACATTATCGAATGTCACCATTGAGAACCAGAGCCTTCTGAATTGATCAATGAATTCCTTCGTGAGGTTACAGTATAGCCCATGATCTATCAAAACAACTTGAGGAATCTTTGGGTTCTTTGGGTGCTCTCTGATCAGAATGTTACCTGGATGAGCATCAGCATGTATGTGGCCAGTAATAAATATCATTTTCGAAAAGATATCAATAAGAGTCTTAGAAAGCTCAACAGCTTGTTTATCTCCATACTTTTTCTTTATCTCTTCTGCTTCGCTTACTTTTAATGTATTCTTGATAAACTCCATCACAAGCATTCTTTTCCCAGAGAATTGAAGATAGTAATTAGGTATATAAAGCCTATCATCATCCTCAAATTCCTCTCTTGTCTTCATTGCATTATTTGCTTCCTGAATGAAATCGAGTTCCTAAATCTGATTAGCAAATTAAGTTACGTTGCTGAGAGATTCCTTAAAATTGTCAAAGAATTCCACCCAGTTGAGACCTCTGAATCTGTACCATTTGGTAAGCCTAGCGACGACCTTCAGTCAGAAGGACATAACAATCATGTCGTAATAAGTTTGAACTCTTAGAGTAGGGAACTGGATTTTGACTGCAACTTCTTCCCCGTTCTTCCTGAGAACTGCTTTATGAACCTGTGCAAGAGATGCAGCAGCTATTGGAGTGGGATCAAAACTGGAAAAAATTTCTTCAAGAGTCTTCCCAAAGTCTGTCTCAATTACCACTTTAATCTTCTCAAGAGCAACATTTGGAGCTTTATCCTAAAAGGTTACCAAGTCTTATGCTTACTTGTAAGACCTTGAGAGTGTCAGTATATTCTTTAGGCAAAAGAGTCTCTAAAGAACCCAAGTACTGGCCTGTTTTAAGATAAATGCCACCATTTTTATTTGCACAACCAAAGAATGCGGTTGGCTACTCTTGTATGAATCTAAAGTCTTAGTCTGGATAACTTACTTTCGCTCTAGTTTTGGTGTATTCCTCAGAAGGATACTCAAGACCTTTGAGGTTATAGATATAATCCAATGCTGAAATCCCCACTAAAGTCAGTCATTAAAATCTTACAAACTGGCATTGTACGTCCACAATTGACTGTACTAAAACAGAACCCACTAAAATCCTGTCTAAGTTGCTTAAGCTTGACAAATCTTGTCTTCCTCTGTGCCCACCGTTCCTTAATTCTAGAACAAAGAGTGTCTTTCGGGAAAAAGTCCATACGTAATTTTAATATTACTTTAAAAATATTTCCTCCTTTAAATCCGTGTCGTGCAGTAAGGGGTTTTGGGGTTTTGGGGTTTTGGGGCTTTGGGGTTTTGGGG